ACAGTGGATCTTATGGAGGCATTTTCTCAGTTGAGGTTCCCTCCTTTCAGATAACTTATTTGTGTGTCAAGTTGACATAAGACTAGCCAGCATAATTGGATTGTATCAGAAACATTTATAAAGCTACAATAGCCCAGATCTCAAGGTTCTCTAAAGCTGACATTTTCTGTTATGGTAATATATTGTGTACCCTAATAAATTTGCCTGAAGATCAGAGAACAGAACAAGCCACGAGATTAAACATAGAAGCCAGGCAGTGGTGGCACACACCTTTAATCCTAGCACCTGGGAGGCAGAGATCCATCTGGATCTCTGTGAGTTCAAAGCCACCCTCAACTACAAGAGATTGACTCAGTCTAGGAGAGAAACAGAGCCAGGCAGTGGTGGTACCCACCTTTAATTCCAATACATGGAAGTTACATGCCTTTAATCCCAGCACTAGAAAGGTTGAGACAGGAAATGATATGGGTGGGCAGAGAAAGCCATGTAAGACATGAGGAGACAGGAACTAAAGTCTTCCAGCTGAGGAAAGCTTTTCAGGCTGAGGAGTCCTAGAGGTAAGAGGTGGCTTGTTCTTTTGTCCCTCTGATCTTTCAGCATTTACACCAATATCTAGTACCAGGTTTTTTATTATAAGACCTTTTAGAATTCATGTTACATCCTCTTTTCTCCAACATCTCACTCTTTGGCATGGAAGAGATAAAATGATTAAGTGTATGTATCCCAGGATGATGCATTACTAAGGTTCATCCAAAATATAAAGTCACTAGAAATAATGTTTTCTTTTTTTTTTTTAAAGATTTATTTATTTATTATGTATACAGCATATGTGACTGCAGGTCAGAAGAGGCCCCCAGATCTCATTACAGATGGTTGTGAGCCACCATGTGGTTGCTGGGAATTGAACTCAGGATCTCTGGAAGAGCAGTCAGTGCTCTTAACCTCTGAGCCATCTCTCCAGTCCTGAAATAATGTTTTCAAAAACCACATTATTCTGGTGATAAAAGTAACTAAACAAAATATAAAACCACACAGACAAAATGACACAGTCTTAGCTCTGTAAACAATATCCAGCCATATCCTGTGCCCTCAGGGGGAAAATGGGGCATCTAATTGGCAGCCTGAGCACACTTGTCTGCCCTCCAATTACACCGAAATAACAAAAGAAAATCTACAACCACAGCTTTTTTTTTTTTTTTGAAGATTTGTGTAGATAGAGTTTGACAGAACAATAAAGAAAAACTAAAGGCAGCCTGCAGCAAAAATCAGCTTTAAACACGTATGTCCTGGAGGGGCTTCAAGCTCAAGGTTATCAGGGTCATGGCATGGAGGGGCTTGGTCAGTCGTTATCTGGTCCATGTCTATGCATCATGTGGGTGCAGTGCCTGTGGAGGTCAGAAGAGCCTGGGACTAGAGTTCCAGACAGTTATGAACTGCCATGTGGGTGCTGGGAATCAAACCTAGGTCCACTGGAAGAGCAGCTTGGGTTCCTAACCACTAAGTCATCTCTCTAGTCCCTGAGCTAAAAATCTCTAAAGGCTTGATAGGTTCCAAGTGTGGGCTACCATGAAAGCACAGAACCACAGGGCACTGCAGACACTTACAGGCTTATGGACTCTGCTCCAGCCATCTTGGTCATGCTGTTACAGGGAAGTGATGAAGCACCATTGGAACTCTAGTGAACTGCTGGGCTGGGCTGCGTGGGAAGGGAGGGACTCTTCCCACCATGACACAATGAAATTCCACATGGCTGGAGAAAGGGCAGAGAAAGAAACCTTGCATCCGGAGGAGGCTTAGCAAACTGTTCCTTGGCCAGAGCACTAGCTGAAGCTAGCAATGGGGAGAGGGTGGGTCCCCAAGACAACCCCCAACCCATCCAAACCCTGAGGTACACCTGGATGACAGAGAGGTCCTTAATCCTATACTTCGCTAGTAAGCAGCAAATGGCAGTGTGGTGGTTTGAGTGAAAATGGCCCCATAACCTCATAGGGAGTGGCATTATATGAAAGGATTAGGAGATGTGGCTTTGTTGGAGTAGGTGTGGACTTGTTGGAGCAGGTGTGGACTTGTTGGAGCAGGTGTGACCTTGTTGGAGTAGGTGTGGCCTTGTTGGAGGAAGCGTGTCACTGGGAGTGGGCTTTTAGGTTCCAGAAGCTCAAGCCAGGCCCAGTGACTTGTAGCAGGAATCTTCAAAGTTCTTATTAATAAAATCAAACCTGAGGCCAGTTATTGGGGTGAACACTGAAAGATCAGAGAGACAGAACAAGCCACAGCTAACCTCACCTGGCCAACTTCTCAACTGATCTTGTTTCCTCAGACTGGAAGCCTCTGTGTCCTCATATCCAAATGGCTCTCAGCTGAACTGTGCTGCTCAAAACCTAAAAGCTTAACCAGCCAAATGCTTCTAGTTCCTGGTCTTCATGCCTTATATACCCTTCTGCTATCTGCCATCACTCCCTGGGATTAAAGGCTCACTTCTTGGGATTAAAGGCGTGAGTCACCATGCTTGGCTGTATCCTTGAATACATGGATTTCTGCCTCTGGAATGCTAGGATTAAAGGTGTGAGTGCCACCATTTTCTAGCCTTTGTATCTAGTGGCTGTTCTGTCTCTGACCCCAGCTAAGTTTATTAGGGTGCACAATATTTTGGGGAACACAATACCACCACATTGACTCTCTCTCTCTCTCTCTCTCTCTCTCTCTCTCTCTCTCTCTCTCTCCCTTTCTCTCTCTTCCTGTCAATCCAGATGTAGAACTCTGATACACCATGAGAACCTCCCCAGCACCATGTCTGCCTGTGCACTGCCATGCTTCCCACCATGACAGTAATGGACTAAGCCTCTGAACCTGTAAGCCAGCCCCAATGAAATGTTTTCCTTTATAAGAGGTGACATGGTTGTGGTGTCTCTTCACAGCAATAGAAACCCTAACTAAGGCAAGCAGCAACTTATTGCTGGAAGAGCAGGCCAGGATGACAAGGCTCCCCCATGAGGTACACATGTATGGTGAAGACCTGAAGTCAGGATAAGAGAGGAACACTGAGAACCCCATCACACACATATACCCCAAGCAAGCCAGTCCTTACCTCAAGCACTGAGGAGCCTAAGAGGCAATGAATGGGCAGTGGGATGAGTGTGTCCAGTGAGGGTGTGCATAGCATTTATCTCAGTCTCTACTGTCTTTTGCACACTATTTGGCATTTAATGATAAATGGCAAGACTTTTTTTTTTATATAAGAAAGAAGAAAATAAAAAGATCTTGGACCAAGTGGTTTTATGTGTGAATTCTATAACATCTTGAGGGACACGAAAATGTTTGCTTAAGTCATTCAGGAAGAAGAAAATGGATATGGACAACTAAGAGATAAGAGGAGGGGAAACAGAATCTCAATATTAAAGGAAGCTTCATGGAATGGGACAAAGACACGTGTCATATTTACAGGTCCCCAGCCATGATGCCATTTGATATAAACTTGTGAGATTGTGCCATGGCGTGAGGGTCCTGTCTTGTTCTGGAGTAGCCATGGAGGGTGGACTCCTTTTAGTTTTCCAGGGTTTTGAAGAAATCACATCTGTGGTTTATGTAGATGATGTAGGAAGTTAAGCTCTTTCTAAAACAAATTTCTCTTCCTGTTTGGTCCATAGACATGACAAGATCCAAATGTGACCAGACTTGACAGAATCAGAAAAGATGCCCACTTGCATTTTCAAAAATTGCTTGAAAATAGAATCTATATTGATTAGCAAGGGGTTTGACTTGCAACCCCAAAAAGTCAGTGCTGTGGGCACACATCTCAGGAGCCCTATCCAGGCCCGGACCTGCTTAGGGTCTCTGTCTTGGTGACCTGTGGCCACAGTGGGAGAGTGAGTGGCTGTCTCCTTCCCATGCTAGGAATTTCTTGACTTGCTGTTTGTCCTTTGCTAATCTCAAAAACTCCCTCCATTTCAATCATCTCCTGTGTGGGGGAGGGAGTAGGGGGAGGCAGAGGAAAAGATTTAAAAGCGAAGAAAACAAGGAGGAGGAAGTGAGCAGTGCTCAGTGAACCCTCAAGTGTGAAAGGCTAATCCAAAAACTACTTAGTAATCACCCCCGTGAGGTCAGACCAGGTGGCATCTCCTGTTACGCACATGCTGTCTCCTCCACCTCCTGCAGAGCCTTGCTTCCTGAAGCCAGGTGACCTTCTGAAATCTGCACCTCTGCCTCTGTGCTGGGGGCATCAGGCCCTTCCTCTGCCACAGCCTCCAGCAAGTCACCAGCTGCTTCTGAGTTACCACCAGGCTATTTTCAATACACTGGTCTGTGCACCCTAGAGACAGAAACCTGGGTAGAGAGGACTGTGCCTTCTCCCAAGGCCCTGACTGTGTGTGCTGCAGAGTGTGTGTGGGGGGCGGGGGAAGCCAATTCCCAGGGTATTCTAATGTGAACCCAGAGGCAGGACAGTGCCTGGAACTCAGCAGCACACAATGTTCAGAAGAGTGCTCATGGGTCTGTCATGCTCAAGGGAACAGTGTTGAAAGACGTTTACGTCTTAAGATGTTTGGCCCATGGTCAAATAACATGTTACTGTTGTCAGGTCCAAATGAAACGTCAATTCTCCAAACCCCCAAAGGCAGTCCAGATATCCAGAAATGAGCTCAACCCAGACCATAGGAGGATTTCTGGCAGTTAGATAAAAGCCGGCATTCTTCTGGAACTGCTGAAGCAGGTTCCTCTCTACCAAAGGAGTCATTTCCCTTATCACTGGCAGAAGGGACAAATGCTACCTGTGGTGCCTATTAGCATACCAAAGTGGGTGCTGGCCTCTAGGCTCCCTCAGTATTACAAGTACCTGTTACACATTTCAGAGTCTCTGCTAGCCTTATGTCCTCTACCCTAAACTCCCCCCATTCTCCTTTCAACTCTGCTATTTTAGATATGTTTTCTCCCTCCCTCCCTCCCTCCCTCCCTCCCTCACTCCCTCTCTCTCTCTCTCTCCCCCCTCCTCTCTGCTCCTGCTTCTCTCATGGCCAGGTCCAGTATACTTTCTCTCCCTGCTCTGGACTCTTCCAGATGCCTCTGGTTGTACTCTCTCTCATATCTACAATAAAAACTTTCCCTTTAACCATACCGTGGAGTGGTACTGAACACACTCGAACACCAAATTCTCAGCACAAAGGAGATTTTGATTACCCTGGGTGTGTGTGTGGGGGGGCTGCCTCTGGATCAGGGGGCTGCCTCTGGGTCAGGCAAAGACAGCAGCAGGTGTCTCTGAGGTAGGGGCTTTTGAGGAGCAAAGGGGAAGCCTATGCTAGCTTAAGTTGGTAAATCCTGATTGAACATGTTAGCCAGTGTAGTCAAATAATGAATTTTGATTGCTGGACTTTGGTGTTTTGGTAGCTGGACCTTGGAGTTTTAGTCAGGCATAAGGAAGTGGCCAAATAAGGGAATAGACCTTGGTGGCTAGCTTTAGGAATGTAATCTAACAGTTTAGCAAGGGAGAGGGCAGAGGGCCTTGATGCCACATCTCTCCTCAAACTCCTAAAACACCCTGGACCCAGAAACTTACATTTTCTTTTATATACATTTTATATGAAGGAACTGGTCCTTCCTTTCTCAGTGCTTTCTGGATTTCGCTGAAATTCTTGGGAAGACACCACCACTGCTTCTCCCATCACAATACAACCAGACACAGCTCTGGAGTGGCAAGAGTCATCTCTGGGATCCAGAGAGGAAGAAACCTTTCTGGAAAAAAGTATCTTTCATTGGTGCTGAAGGAGACAGGCAGGAAGGTGCTTATTTGCTCCTGTGTTCCTGTCGTCACAGGAACTGGGTCTGATCTGTCATCGTTCCCAGTCCAGCTCACATTTATATACCAAACAAGCCTAATTCCGTGATGGACAGTGCTATCCCTTCCCTATCTGATCCTTAGCATTAGCTCCAGAACCCTACCTACCATCAACCCGAACGTAGGACCTAACCTTCGGTGACAACTCAGTTGGGAACCCTGGGCTTTCTTGTGGCTTTGGGGACTGTGATCATGATAATGGTGGGGAGGAAGAGCACAGCTGACTGTAACAGGGTGCTGTGTACCAGGTCCTGTGATAAACACTTAACACTCACTACTCTGGTTTCTCAAGTCCTAATGGAACTGGTTTAGTTCTCTCTTGCTACCTTAAAAAAAAAAGTCCCCAAAATGTAGCGATTTAAATCAATGCGTATTTATAATCCCACAGCTTGTGTGACTCAGGTATGGAGGATTCCTGTTCGCCAGGGTCACTTAGAGTGCTGCCTGGGTGCCTTCTCCAGAATCAATTGTGAAAGGCACTGCTCCTTACTCTATACACTTATGGACAGAGTGTGCTTCTACATGGCTGATAAACTCAGGCCACTAGCGAAGGGTTCATCAGTGGCTGTTAACTAAGAACATACTCCTAGTCCTTTGCCAGATGAGTCTTGCTAATATGGCAGCCTCATGCTTCAGAGGTAGTAATCTTCTAGCAGGATGGACGATTTCCTTCTTTTGCAACCTGGTCATGGAAACGGTTATCATCTCTGCCATATTCTTCTCTCTAGAATCAAGTCACTAGGTCCAGCTCACACTCGAATGGAGGGGATTACTTACATAGGAGACAGGAGTCATCAGTGACCATCATAGGAACCTTTGCAGAAGGAGAGAGATAAAGGCCAGACTGCAAAGATAACCCCAAGCACAGAAGAGGGAAGTAGCTCAAGGTGAGAGTTGAAGCTACTATATGCAGAAGGAGGAAGGGCCCGCTATTGTATTTGACCTGCAGTCTCTTCCTGTCTCTCCTAGCCCTAACACAAAGGTGGACTAAGGAGGTGGCGGGCACAAGGCTAAAGGGTGTGAGTAGAAACACCGTGACACTGCACAAACACTTGCCCATCGGAAAAGCAAATGATCAGCGATGACAACAGAGAAGCATAAAAAGCATCTGGGCGAAAAGGACTCAGAAGCCCTTGTGGGAAGACAGCTTTTGCCATGGATGTGCCAGGGTATCAAATAGAAAAGGCAGGAAGTAAGGCAGGAAGCAGATCTGGAGTAAGGCGTTTGCAACCACAGACTGTCAAGATGAAGGAAACAAACTTCAGGCAGAGTACATAAGGCAGCTGCAAAAAGAATTCCTTTCTTTCTTTCTTTCTTTCTTTCTTTCTTTCTTTCTTTCTTTCTTTCTTTCTTTCTTTCTTCCTTCCTTCCTTCCTTCCTTCCTTCCTTCCTTCCTTTCTTTCTTTCTTTCTTTCTTTTTTTTTTTTTAAGATTTATTTGTTATGCATACAGTGTTCTGCCAATGTGTATGCCTACATGCCAGAAGAGGGCACCATGTCTTATTATAGATGGTTGTGAGCCACCATTTGGTTGCTGAGAATTGAACTCGGGTCTTCTGGAAGAGCAGCCAGTGCTCTTAACCTCTGAGCTGTCTCTCCAGCCTTGCAAAAAGACTTCTAAGACAATGTTACACAGAGCAAAGGTGTAGAGGCGAGGATGAGGAACATTGTTCGGCAGCATCTGCTAAGATAAATTCTACTTGACATATCTTAGGGAAAGGTTGCAGATTTTTCAGAGCCTTTGATCTGTCAGTGTGCTGTGTGATGCTGTGTGGGGGACAGAGAGTGGAGAATGTAATAGGAGGCATTCCTGACATGTACTTTCTTGGTATACACGGTAGCTACAACGTGCTGCGGCCTTGTGGGGAACGCTCTTAGATCCAATGCCTGTGGATCTTTTTTGAGAGCGGGAAGAGGGTTGGGTGAAACATTTATAATGAACCAGGAACGGTAGCCTGCGCTACAGTCATAGAGAATAAACACTCATAAGAACCTGTTAGCCAGAGGTGATGACGGGATGGCACCATCTGCACCCCAATGACGGGAAGGATCCCAAAGCAGAACTCAAACAGCAGTCATCACATCATCCTCTTTCACAGCCATGCCCACATGCCCCCACATAGTCCCTTCTCCAGTATGCTCCTTCTGTCTCCTCCTGGAATGCTCTCCTATCAACAGAAGGATTACTCCCTGGCCTGCTCCTGGGGGAATTTCCCCAATATCAGGATATCGGGGCAATGAGGGGCAGAGTCTCTGCGATAGCAAGACAAAGACGCTAGGAGTCTTGGAAAAATGTCTTCTTAGTGCTGAGAGAGAAAATGAAATCAGGAAAAGATTCCTTGCCAACAACAGAAGCAATCGTTTATGGGGAGATGTTAACTTCTGTAGCTTTTAGAGGAGAATTCCCTACAGTGAGGCCTGAGACACCAGTGTCTTCATAATCAAAAGGTTTAGGACCGTTCCTCTAGCACCTGGGAGCAGCTAAGGTCCTACCCACTAACCCGAGCCAACTGACTACGTGCATCCTTCCCTTCCTGGAGGACACAGTGTTATGTTTCTAGGTTTCCCCTGGAGGATATTACAGTAACTTTCAGTGGTTAATGAATAGCTTCCTGGTGCCTGCTTCACTTAATTGTTCAAAGGCCGTTTGCTCCTGTGTATAAGGCTGCGACTTGGCTAATGAGTGCACTTCCCTGAGCAGGCCTGGAAGCAGAGGAGTGGCAGGGTCAGACGGACTCCAGAGAAGCAGGGATGCAGAACAGGACTGTTCTAATTCTCTGTGCCCTCTCCCTCCTCACAGGCTTCCTGATGATCTGCCTGGGGGGCTTCTTCATCTCCAACTCCATATTCCACTCTCAGAGGAATCTTGTCGTGTCCTACGTGCTTCTGCCTATGGGGTTTATAATCCTGCTGAGTGGAATTTTCTGGGCCACTTACTGCCAAGCAAGCGAAAACAAAGAGATGTTCAACCATGCACTCAGACAGCACCTTGCTTCCCAGGACCCACCCCTGGCCACGGTAGACAGGTACGTGCTGAGCGCCAGAGGGCATGAGAAGGGCTGAGATGAGCCACATTGTGGGAAGTGCAGTGATGTATAACTCCACAGTGGATCCACTTACATGAGGCTTTGCGTCTAGGCCTGAAGTTCCACTATTGGACAGTTTGCTCTGGGGTCATAGTGTGGAAGAGCAAGGCTGATAGTAGGGAAAATAGTGGAGCAAGGGGGAATTCTCTCAGCGTAAGAGCCTCACACCCCTGGTAAAAACTCACACACAGCAAATTAAGGGGCCCAACTCCTAGGTTCTTCTTATGTTTTGGGGGTGATTTTAGTAAAATGTGGGTGATGACTAACATCAATCTCCCGATTCTTGTCCTAATACAAGGACATCGTTCTTAAGGTAAAGGATGTAAGAGTTTATAAGACCTTTTGTGCTCTTCATGCAAGAGTAGGAAGTCCGTAAAATGTCTTGGTTATCCCATGCACACTGAATAAGAGTCCCCTCACCAGTGACTACGCATTGTTGCTATCCATCACACCAGTGACAACAATCAGAGCCCATTTCCAGGGTTAATTAGACTAACCAGGAAGAAGTTCCTTGGGTTTGACCAAAAATTAAGATAGCAGGAGTGATTTAGAAGGTGCTCGTAGAGTGATCGTGTGTGTGTGTGTGTGTGTGTGTGTGTGTGTGTGTGTGTGTGTGTATGTACATATGTGGTATGCTTGTGTGTGTGTGTGTGTGTGTGTGTGTGTATGAATGTGTGTGTGTGTGTGTGTGTGTGTGTGTGTATGTGTATGTACATATGTGGTATGCTTGTGTGTGTGTGTATGAATGTGTGTGTGTGTGTGTGTGTGTGTGTGTGTGTGTGTGTGTGTGTATCTACTTCTACACTGTGAAATCCTGCTAATAGTAACTGAGTGCCTTTAGGATGCATCTGAAATTTGCTAACACATTCATATATATTCCCTCATCTGGAGTATTCAAAAGTGAATAATGACAATCTTGACACCCCTACCTCACTGCCCCTGCCTGCTGCATCATCCTGAGATGCTCACCCCACAGAGTTAAACCGGAAAAATTGCGTATCTCAAAAGCTTTGCACTCAAAATGGGCAACCAGGCAGAGCTCAACAAGCGAATGTTCCTCCAGTGACGGAATTCATGGCAGCAGTCCTCTTGGAGTCTCTCAAGTGGTTCCAGGGAAGAGCTTACCTTTCTGTCCCCATGACTCAGCCTTAGCTATTCCTGGGAAAGGTCGAGACTTACAGTAGACAGCTCCTTCAGCTATTTGGCCCCAGGCCTTGTGACATTTGGAGTGGAGCAGTGGTTACAAACGGCAGACCCTGTTCTGTTGTGGTTACTCACCATAAACACTCCCTTTGGCACTGGATAGATTACCTCTATAAATACACAACTCATGCAAACTCACCCTGGCTCCCTTCCACTGGCCCCACCCTCACCTTCATTCATGGCAGAGGAGCCAGGGTGAGCAATTACAAGATGATGAGCAAGTCCATCAACTGGAGTGAATGACCTTAACTATGGGCAGGCCAGCATAGCAATGCTGCAGCCGAATACCTCACAAAGCTATCAGCTGGTGCCTTGTGGGACCTGAGCCTGTTTCCTGTATTTTCTCGGGAACCAGCTGCCCCAGGACTTGACAATGTGTCAGGAGAGAGCGGTGGCATCCCTCAGGTCAGGGACCTGCAGGGAATTGGTTTCCATTCATTATTTTGTTGCTTGTGAAGCTCTGAGGCCTTGAGAGCAATGGAGTGGAAGATGATGTGTGTACAAGGATTGAGTACTGGCTAAAGAGAGGTTCACGGTCAAAGTCTCTGTGTCACCTAGGGCTGATAAGGACAGTGCACTGAAAGGCTGTTTTCTGGACCGAAAGAGCAAACAAGGGTGAATAGCTTGGAATACCTGTCTGGAACAGGCAGGCTGCTCTGGCTGGAAGGGGATTGATTCTACAAGAAGGGTGCGCAGTTTTTAGAAACTGGTGATGTCAGAAAAGTACATCTGTTTCAAACTCAGTGTTTCTTAGCAGTTTAGCTTCACACAGTGTGAGTTGAGAGAGGCAGACATATGCTTCTTCACGACCAAGATCTAAATAACACATGCGTCTTTGCGGCATTTCATCTCACAGGCCCGACTTTTACCCCCCAACTTATGAAGAAAGCCTGGATGCTGAGAAACAGGCCTGCGATGCAGGCAGAGGGCTTCTGGGATTCCCTCCTCCTCCCTATACAGCAACAAGCCTTGAACTTGAAGATGAAAATGACCCGCAACCAGAGGCCCCACCCCCCTACCAGGAGAGAACAGCGGATGCAGTGGTTACAGCAGAGGCACAGAATGCCGATGCCCAGGGACCAAGTCTGGCACTGAAGGCAGGACCTGCTCTCCTGTCCTCAGAACTCACCAGCTGCTGAGGAGACAGGCTGGCCAGGGACTGGGAAGCTGCTCTGCCACTCTGCACTGGAGCAAGGCCACCATGGGTTCAAGGGCAGCATGGAGCCACTGAAGTTCATAGCCACCAGCAGGAAGTTGGTGCAGAGAAATCCCATGAAGCCCAACCCAAGTGAACTTTAGACTGAAGAGAAGGTATATGGCCAGGCCTTCCGCCTCCCTGCTAACCCCATGACCTCAACTCAAGCCTGGAGGTGCACTTACTGTTGGTGGGACTGCCACAGCCCTTCACATACTATGTCCAAAGAATCTCAAAGGGAAGACTTCCTGGGAGGCAGCCTTGGAGTCACCCCACTGACCATGCTACCCGAATGACACCATAGCTCATACACATCATGGGAAGTGCCCTCGGAACCTAGGGACATTATTTTGTATCATTTTATTTTAATAATGTATGTTTTTTTTCTGTATGAAAGGGAAGAGACTGCAATATTTGCTTTTAAATGGTACAAACACAAAACACTGAGTTACCTCTTCAAGAGGTCCTGATACAGGCACATAGGGGTTCTTACCGATTCAAGTTGACTAGATAGAATACTTAATTCATGATCCAGGGAGTCAAGAGTGATGCTAATATACAACGTATTACAAATCTTGTGAAATTTAAAAATGTTTATATGCAGTTTTCCAGGATGCTCCCCCAACTCAAATTCGGAATGTAAGATATCAAAAACTGTAAGGTCATGTTTCCATTACCGGGATATTTTTTGTGTCTCAACATCTAGAAGTCTAGTTCTCGACTTAAAAACCCAATGGTCCCTCCTTGGTTTTATTTTCTTGGTGGGGTTTCTTAAAATCAGAGAGCAGGTTGTCGGGAGGAAAGTCGCAGGACACACAGGCTGAGACTTTGAACGTGGATGAGGGCATCCATCTTCCCGCCTCAAGTTCTCTCTCTCCCAAGTGAGGCATCTGTGCTCAGGTTGATATCTAACAGTTATGGTATGCCTTTCACGTGGTGGGCTCAACTAGTCCTCCATGTGTGTTATTTAGCCCCCTACCCCATCTTTAAGAGGTAGGTGCTATGAGCATTCCTGTTTTAGGGATGGGTCAACTGAGGTTTCGAGGATTCAGGAAATGTGTTCAATAAAACAGCGGCCTCAAGGAAGGTGAAGAACCAAAAGGCACATGATGGGAGTCACTCACCTCACACTTTTGAATTAGGCTAGCTATGTCTTTCCTCTTTCCCAGACACAGCTTAGATTTCTCGTTCCATGTCAAAAGTGACCCCTAACAGAAAGTAGTGTTCCAGGTCACTGCCACACCGTCCACGCTTGAAGAAGCAGCTGAGGTGGCTTTAGGATTATTGGGCTTTTCGGTTAAAATGTGTCAGCCTGTTTCCTGTCTGTGAAATGGGCCCTCATAGTGCAGTTTTCCTGAATCCTACAGAGGGTAGCCACGGTGATGGTCGCAGGAGAAGAGCCTTTGAAAACTCACAGGGAAGGATGACATCTTTCAAGAAGAGAGTCATCAAGGTGGGGCCGGGTATCCATGGTCTCAGCTTCTCCATTGGTGTGGAGTACACAGTTAGCGAACAGACTGATAAATGTATAAGATGCCAAATGAACAAAACCCTAGTCCATGAATCTCTGCTTTGAATCCTGGACAATGAAGGAATGACTAGATAGGAAGGCCACTGATGACTGTTCAGCAGGACGGCGACCATTTATTACCAGTGCAATTTGTCATTTCTTTCCTGTCATCTCTTTTCATCCCCCTCCTGAGCAGTTTACCCCACTGGTCTGAATGACCAGCATTATCGGACTTCTACCCAGATTTGCACACAGAATAGATGTTTTTTCTACCACCGGGGGACAGATGAACCAAACGTTCAATTTGGTTTGCACACATTGTATTAGTTTCCTTAAGGCAATAAATTTTGTATTCAGAGTCTTTTTGAAATTTATTTTGTGGGTGTGTGTTGTACTTGCATGTGTATGTGCATAAGTGCATGTATGTGTACACACATGGAGTAGTCGGGGGCTGTTGTTTCAGGTAAGCTGACTGGCAAGTGAATTTCCAGGGATCTTTCTAGGTTCCTGGCATGAGTGAGGATTTATGCTAGTTCCTCATGCTTTCACAGCAAGCATGCTAACCCCTGAGTCACCTCTCCATTACCTCAGACTTTACTTCCTTCTTGTTTTTTTTTTTTTTTTGTCACTTTTTGTATCAGAAAAAAAAAATCAGTAGAGGATTCTAAGTCATGGTAGCATTCTCCACAGTATCAAGATGAGTTCATATTTCTGCAAACCCAAATGTGATTGACAACAGATGTTGCCTCAGAAAACAACCTGGTGCTTCCTTTTTAAAAAGAACACTGAAGTTGGGCATGGCGGCACACACTTGTAAGCCAAGTACATGTGAGGCAGAAGCTGGAGAATCAGGAGTTCAAGGTCAGCCTTAGAAAGAAGGAAGGAAGGAAGGAAGGAAGGAAGGAAGGAAGGAAGGAAGGAAGGAAGGAAGGAAGGAAGAGAGGGAGGAAGGAAGAGAGAGAAAAAAGACAAAGAAAAAACAAATTAGCACTAAAACATACTCCTCGCCATGTTTCTAAAACACATGTACTCTGATTCATGAGTTGAGAACCTGGGTATCATGCAAAGCAATCTTGCATTTTCGAGTCACAGCAACTAAAATCCACTGGGCAAGTCAAACAAGTGTATCCTGCTGTAGTGAATGATACATTATTATCCCCTACAGGATGCACTCAGGGAAAGTAGCTTCTTTCTCGGGTGTGTGATCAAATGAAATGATGCTGGGTTGGGAGCCGTGGTTCCATGGATACTGAGGAGGGCATTTGGACGTGACACAATGGAGAGAGGAAAGTGTCCGTGGCAAAGGATCCTCACTCGTTCTTCTTCACCCCTAGGGTGAATTATAGTGCCCCGGGCCCCCAATTTATAGTTTCATGTTGTTCCCTTGATGAACAAGTTTAAATAATTGCCATCAGCACCTAGAAGATCAGGACGGCAAGGCCAGTATGCAGTACATGATGCTGGATCTTCACATATCTGAGAGGTGCTGGCTCTCTTTTGACCCCTCCATGCAAAAACTCCCGGGGGGTTTCTTACTGACACATCTGTTTGTCTCTCAAGATTTCACCTTAGTATACTGTTTTTGGTGAAGCGTCATTCTAGCTCACCTTCAAGGCACGGCACATGCTAAGTGCTGAAAGAAATGGAAAGAAGAGAGACTCACGGATTTGTTACTCCACCCTGCTCTCGAAAGTTCCATGACAACCCAGGGGACTCACAACAGTGAGCTGCCAATTGCATGGGCTATTTCTGCGGGTAAAGTCCCCAGCTGGTTGAAGTTGAGCAGGCATTCTGCTAAGCTCTGTTGCCTCAGATAATCTCTTGCCGTCTGTAACTGTTGATCCAAACACTGATTTACCAGCCGTGGGCATGGAGTCATCTTACTGTCATTATTAGTTCCCACAAAGGCTTTGTCATCCTTTACAACAGCCGTAGCTCATGGATCTGCCCACCAGAAATCTCAAGTCATGAGAGTATCATGTCTTTGTTTGTGTGCCATGATTTAGTGTGGCCAAATCTAGTGCAGGGCTCCACCAACGATGGCTATCAATCTAAGGGCTTCTTGTGTGAAAGCATTCATGACCTGCAAATATGACGGATTCATTCTGCAATCTGGAACAGAAAGATCTGATAAATGTTCTCTCTTTAAAGTAGGCTACCCTTCTGTGTATGTGTATGTGCTTGTGTGCACATACATGTGGAAGTCAGAGGTCAATGTTGGGTGCTCCCCACTTTAGTCTTTTGAGACAGTTTATCACCTAAACCCATCTTCCTAGCCCCCTTCCATTTTTTAAAAGGGTGATGAAGAAGTTCAAGAATCCTGGGTGAAACAAAGCAACCTTTTGTTTTGTTTTGACTGACACTTAGTAGGCAGGGTAAACGTCTCCCTGACACATATGCACACATATTTCCAAATCCCCTAGATGAATTGGGCACTGCTTTGGTTAAGAACCACTATATATATGTGGTGGCTTGCCACCTTCCAGAGACATATGTTGCAGCTAAGGAACCCCCGAGTGCTAGAAGATCACCAGAGTGGCCCTAATAGTGACCTCACTATAAAATAGCCTCTTCTGTGATTCATTGTGCTGGTTCACATGAAATTCTTGTATATCTCATGTCACTCACTCTTATTTTTTAAAAAATATTATCTGTGGGGGGGTGGGGCGGTTTACATGCCAGGACACATATGGGGGTCAGCAGACAACCGTATGGAGTCAAGTCTCTCTTCCTACCTTTCTGTAGATACTGGGGATTCAACTCAAGTCACTCAGGAGGCTTGCACAGTAAGCACCTTTGCCTACCCCCAGCCATCTCACTGACCCTCAGGTCATTTGCTCCTAAAGGCTGGTTGCTGGCTCTCCATCTTTAACAAGAGGAGCATCATATAGGGAAGAGTGGTTTGCCGGCTTTCATCCCTCATCAGAGTAACACAAGAGTTCATATATGCAGTCTTGGGTTCAGGCAGAAATAATACCTCAGCAATGTAAACTTGAGAGGGCTCAGAGACAGGCCGTGTCCTAGAATCACTGAGAAACCTGCTCTTTGTTAACACAGCCAAGAGAAAATGATGGCCATTTAGATCTGCTCCCCATGATGTTATGTCCTATGTCTGCCTGAATGCCAACCATCACACCAACCTCTGGCCCCCAAGGTCAGCCTCTTCTGTAAGTCCTAGCTAACAACGACTATTCTGCCTTGCTGTTTCCATTCACCTCTGGTAAATTATACAAACGCTAATGAACCCCAAGAAACCCTATTCTTTAGGAAGCCTCCTGTTACCAGTGTCCCACCATTTCTGAGTCAATCACTCTCCATGTGTTCCCAAGGCTCATGCTTGCACTTCTGCTGTGATATGTATGCCTCCCCAATTACTTGTTTGTCACAGCCAACTCTTTCCAAACTGTAAGTTCCCCAAAGCGGGATAACTCCTCCCATCTTCCTGTTACATCTAAAAGAGGAATGTGCCTGGAGTAGCTACTCACCCAGGGTTTGCTGAATGGATGAATGAATGAATGAACAAATGAATTGATGGGTAACTATAAACTGGGCTACTACACACACATAAACAAAGGGAAACAATCTTCAAGTAGAAGAACTTGAACTTAAAAGTTAGAGATGATTTAAGTTCAGGAACTGGAGGCAAAACTATTTGCTTCTCCGGTTAGAGCTGATGTGCCTAAAGGATTTGTCAGAGTGCCCTAACGTCCACAGTGAATGAATGGATGGGTGTTATCAGGGACCTTTACTCCAGAGATAATGAGAGTGAAAGCTACAAGGCAAAAATTTTCCATTCGTGATGTATCATATATATATTATAATCTCAGCTCAAAGCCACCTTCCTATAATTCTGAAATAAAGACTGTTATAGTGAAAGACTAGATGCCATTTTAATTTTTGCTGATTCCCCAAACCAATTTTGAGCAATTCATTTCTTTTTCTGTCCTATTTTTAAAATCCACCCTCTGCCCGCCCCCCCTCCCCCGAGTCATTAGAATGAACCACGGTCTTTGCCATTGTTCTGAAAGGCTGATTTATCACTACACGTGACCGCTATCGGAGCTGCCAAGTGGCAAGAGACACAGAGGAGCTGAAGCCCACACAGTTTTGTGTGGAGGGTGAAATAAGGAAGTTCCGTTTTATTGGCCACTAAATATCCTAGCAAGTTTCTGACAGAAGCACAGAGAGAAAATGGAAACAAACCCCTTTCTGGGAAAGGGGCACTGACCTTGACGGCACTGACCTTGACGGCAGCAACCTCGCCTTGCTTTGGCAGCAACCGCCAAAGGGCACTAGGTCGTCTTCACAAATGACGTGATAAGTGAACCTGCAGTTCCCAAGGAAGCCAAACACAAGCAAACACATCCTGTGCCCAATGGAGGAGGACTCTGCCCCAGTCCACGTGCAGCCGGAGCTGCCAGGTCCCTTTTCCTTCCAGGCAAAGAAAACTAGTTGTGACAACCCACTTCTCGGTCTCATAGGGCCCAGGACTCTCCCACTAATTATTGCAGCCCCTTCTGGTCTCCTTTATCCAGCCACTGTGAATGAGATCAGAACCCACGGTGGTATTCTCCCTGGGAGGATTTACACAAACTTATGTATGGACGTCTGTGACATAATCAAGAAAGCTTCCCCCTCATTTCTCAGTCTTTTCCAGAAAATCCTCCCCCACCTGCACAGGAAATGGCTACATTCAGAACATTCAGAAGGGTGCAGCCGCCTTGGTAGCTCAGTTAATACTATATGCAAAATAAGAGAGGAAAACGCCCTTTTATAAGTCTTGTTGGAGGTGTGCCATTGTGGTTTACAGAAAACTCCAGAAGATGTGAGAGAGGCAGTGTAGAGATGGTGGGAGGCTGGGGAGAATGGACTGTTGGATGGTTGGTGGGAGAGGGGTGTGTCCTAGAAGTTTTAAACCTTTCTGTTATAGATCTGATGAGGAGTGCAGCTGAGACCTCCTCTGTGTTGGTGAGGTCTTCTGCCTGCCCAAAGCCCTTAGAATGTAGAGTCAGGCCAATTTTGGATCTCTCTCTCTCTCTCTCTCTCTCTCTCTCTCTCTCTCTCTCTCTCTCTCTCTCTCAAGACCCCCGAAATACACAGGGGCTCTGATTAATAGTTTCCTAGCGCACCTGTCTTTCTCCAAAGGGGAAGCTTGTTGGTGTGATGAAATATAGATATTAAACAACAGTGAAGCGTTGACAGATAGCTAAAGACCCTGCTGCATTTGGAGGGGCTGAACAAATCCAAACAAAAGGGGTGCTCACCCCCCTTCCCACCCTCACTTCATCTTTTACCCGCCACCCCCCCCCCCCCAGCAAAATAGCTTTTGTTTTTCCAAAGTCCTAAGAGGCACAAACAGGAAGCAAGAAGGCCCAGTGAAGCGTCATCATCTCTCTTGGTACTCTTCTGCCCTGTGCTCAGGTGATGACAGTAGGGCCCCTCCGGCCAGTTCTCTCATGAATCTGGGATATTTTCAGTGCTATGGCTATGAGAGGGCTCAGCACCGCCTGGAAAAGAAAGGGATAATCATCAGTTTGAAATCAGCCACAGTCCAGGCTTTGGGATGGATTTCCACCTCAGAGGTGAGGACTTAGATTGCATTTTATAGCCTACAGGCAGTGACTGGAATGGGCAGGACATAGAAGCAGGGCAGAAAATTGCTCTGTGAGGTTTTATTTCACCCCAGAGAAATTAATTCATGACAGGAACAAGTATAAGCCCACTGTTAAACAAGACTGTGAATTTCGGGAAGGCTGGAAACTTCCATTCTTTCTCTGATACAATAATCCCTTCCAAGTTAGAGCCCCATCAAATACCTCCCCACATTCAGCGTGAGGGCAAAGCGCATCCTGAGGCCATACGCCTAAAGAAGCCACCATTCTGACATTTCAGAGGAGATGGCCATACTAACGCTATAGAACTAGCCGACCCACTTCCTATCCCCTGGTTACTGAACTTCTTCAGTGCTCCCAGGGAGGTGGGGGTGATTAGCAAGCTTTGGAACACAGTTCAGCAAAGGACTATGAATCACTTCTTGAACTTCAATTGCTTGTCCAGTTTCTGAAGAGTGGAGCACATCCCCAAACATACTCATAAGACATGAATTATAAAACAGTGGGGGAGCTGGTCTGTCTGCATTCCTCAATCCAGATGCTGCCACAAACAAGAAAGGCTGTTTTCTGCTGACCTGCAGCCCTTTAAAGAAAACAATTCTTGCTGAAGAATGACTTCACCTGAAGGCATTCTCATGCATGTTTTTACTAAATTTATGTGTACAGTACACTCATATTTATCAGGCAATATTGCTCTTCCATATGGAGGACTAATGTAAACTTATATGTAAGTATAAAATGAGTCCATTTAAAGACAAAATCCCAAACAAAGGTATTGATAGAGAAGTATTGGGCATCAGTGGAGTAAAGGAATAAGTAAAGATTCCATAATTCTGGAAAGTAAAGCCTGGGCTGAGGGAAGGAGTATTCTGTTCCTGGCAACCCAACCTGTTCCTAGCGGATGAAAGCATGAAACATGTTCAAGTATTGCAGTCAGACAGAAGAGCATGTACAGGGCACAGACAGCACAAGCATTCTGGTATGTCTTGAGTATAGGGAGAATCCTAAAAGATAGGAAAGCCAGTCTGAGGTGAGGGGACCCAAGTGCCAGGGCGGGATGCACTGATTTAATTCACTATGCAATGGGAGATGCTACCATCCTTGGAGCCAAAGGCTATCATAATCAGAGCAGTGGAAGTAGTGATCTAGGGGCATGTTTGGTGAGGCATTACTTCAGGGGCTACTTCATATAGTTAAATTGCACAACCTCAATAATGAACAGCCACAAAATAATTTCACTTCATTCGAATAATTATATTGAAATTTCTTCAATACAATACCCAAATAAACAGTAAGATGTCAATACACATATAGAGGAGTTTTTCTTTTAAAAAAATTAAATTCAGTATTTTAGAGACAATAGAGAATGATGTTTAGTTTATCTGTCAAATTAGATATGCATGAGATACCGTAACATATTAGTGAGAAACAAAAAAAAATATAAAAGAATTCTCAGCTCGCTTCACTATCACACTTAGGTTCCAATGGCATTAACTAAATAAGGATGAAAACTGGACATTATACAGGATGAAACAGAACCACAATTCTCAACAATGTACTCATATTCAAAGAAAAATGTCTGATCCAAAACTGAATGACTGGGAAGTGATCAATATGTGATTGGAAAGACACAGTGATCAAGATATGTATGCATCTAGTAACTTCTCTGAAGTCTTTGTTTTAAAGACTCAAACTTGTCTCTTGTTTTGATTACATCAGGCATGAGGCCATCAGTGACAATTAGGGCAGCTCACGGAAGTCAGATCAGGGTGCCCCTTTACCCTTCATCCAGTAACTGGGCAGCCCTTACTCAAAGTACTTGGAGTCATGTTTCTGATTTTTCTCTTTTCTATGTGTTTGGGAATATATGCATAAATAATGAAATATCTTGGGGTGGAACTCAAGTCTAAAGACAAAATTCATTTTTATCTCTCATACATGTTCTTTTACACATAACCCCAGGTCATTTTATACAATATTCTTAATATATCTTCATTTTGACTGTGACCATATCACATGAGTCAAGGCCTAGAATTTTCCACTTCTAACACATCGGGCCTAACAGTGTCAAAATTGGGAGCACTTTAGGCCTTGGAATTTGGGGTTTGGTGTGCTACACCTCTCCACGCTCTCCATTAGTGCAGCTGGAGCACTTTTTGTTGAGTCTTTTTTCCTTCCCAACCCACTGGCAGTCATCAAATCCTTTGGCCTTATTCCCACAGTAGCTCCTCACACATGTTCTCCTCCCCCGTTGATTTTCCCTAACACGGTTTCCTAGTATCCTTGGCTCATAGGTGACAGTCGGCTGCTTCCAACCTTGCCACACCGAGCTTCTTTCTGGAAGTGATCATCTGATGTCCAAGTCTCAGGAGGCTTCTCAAGCTCTGTGGCCAGCCATTCTCACTCAGCATGGCTGCTGGGTTCCTGATGTGTTGATAATCCTTTGTACCTCTTCCCACTGCATGCCACATAATCTACCTTTATTTTAATGTACCTAAAACTAATCAAAGTAGACAAGGAAAAAATGCCTACAGATAAGTCAGAATGCAGAGCTCAACTCTGAGAGAATTTATCTTCTCCAAATGACAAAACAGGCCTCAATAAAAATACTTCTGAGGAGAAAAATCCCTCTCCAGATTGAAGCAGAGAAAGTACTCCCAAAGAGATTCATCAAAGCAAAACCAAGCCAGTGTCTGCGAGTTCAATGTGCCACCCACAAAAGCCACACAGGCAGGTGAGATCAGCCTTCTTCTCTGCCACCCTTCCCACTTTTATCATTGATTGGGGCCATTCGCTAAGAGGTGGCATTTATATTCCAACCTAACAAAAGTACGAGAATCGTGAAGACAACTGTCCCATTAATTCAGTTGTGAGCTCTGTGTGGTTCCACACATGGAGGCCTTTGGAGGACACAGGGTGAGGAGGAAATGAATAGGCTGGTCATCTCTATAGATTCTGCTAGTGACTGGAGGACACTGGGCGTCCACCCTTGGAATCCTCCTGTGTAGATACAAACTAGCCCGCAAAAGTTCCATCTTAAGCCTCATAGAAGTCCCCTGCTCACAACCTCCCCCTTTCCTCTCTTCTGTCCCCACCTCATTTTCCATGCTGCCAAGAGCATTGCAAAGGGATGGGGAACTGCCAGCTGGTTTAGATCCCTGCATGCCCTCCCAAAGGTCCCACTATGTCCTCATGTTTCTATTCACTGGGCATGTCCACAGCACACTTCAAATTTTTCCTTTGTGCAGAATACACTTGCTAGTTTAATGGAAGATGACCTCCTACCTCTCACAAAAATTTGGAGCAGAAATAGATCTAAGAGACTGAAACCAGAACTTTTAAAAAAGGGACTGTAGTCTATAGAGTCTGTCACTCTGGGCCTTCTCTTTCTCTCCGCTCTAAGGCTGCAGAAGCTGAGACTAAGGTGACTCTGTCGTTTATAGCAGCCTGAGTTCCTGTGGTTGCAACACTGGCATGCTTCAGTTTGGTGCTCTGCTTCCAGATGTTCCTTAGGAACAAAGTCAAAGCCCCCACAGGTCTACCTGAGGTTTGCCAGCGGCCTGCTACCCAAGGAACAGCCAAGCATCACCCAAGGATACTGCTGTGGGTCCTAGTCAGAAAGATGGAGTATTTGTGTTCCTATGAATCCTGGAGTGTGTGGCTATGACAAGCTTCCAGAATGATCCCGGTGCATACTCAGGTCTGGGACCCTGTCTGGCAGCATTGTGTTCCTTATTCTAGGACAGGCAGAACAAGACCGTGGTGAAAGGACTCTGGATCAACTGGCTCTATCCCTTATGAGCTGTGTGATCTGGGTACGTCATTTAACCTCATTGGACACCAATTTTCATTTCATTTCACAGAGGTGAGAGGCTAGGCAAGCCTGTGAGTAGGAAACAGGACAGTCCCAGGCACGCAGGGCAGACACATAAGTGATCATTATTAAAAACTGGGAAAGGAAGTGTAGCATGCCAGCTGGCAGTCAAATGGCTGCTTGGCACAATCTGTGATCTTTTACCATAAAGTCAACTCACACTTCCTCAAATGTCAAATGAATGCCTCTGGTACGCACCCCAGTTCAAAATAGTAACTTTCCTTGGTCAGGTCTTACTGCACGTGTTACTCTTGTGAGTTATCAGCCTGCCATTTGGACCTCTGACCCCAGAGATTGCCAAGAGGACCATGACTTGCATTTACCATGGTTCTTTCTGAGAAGCCGCCCCCTGCTGTGATATGGTGGGTGTGTCAGGAGTGTGGTGTGTACACGTACTGTGCTCTTCCCGAATATAGCTTCACAGTAAACATTTCCTTGAAAGTTGCTAGCCAGAAATACCCTCTCTGGCTGGGCTTTAGGGCTGCACAACCCATGCTATGGTTTAGATATGGTTTGGGTTTGCCCTGCCCCCAGGCGTCGTGTGTTAAAAGCTTAACCTTGGGTAGTGATGCTGGGAGATGGTGGACCCCTCTAAAACTGTGAGCCAAAATAAAGCATGTATTCTTACAGGAAAATTATCTGGGAAATTTCATCATGATGATGCAAAGTGGACTAATACACTAAATAAAGGCTACGAATAGTCGAGGACTTTATGTGGCTACAAAATCATTGGCACTTCTCACACTAAACCATGGGTTTGGAGCTGGAGAGATGGCTTAGCAGTTAAGGG